CTCCATTAAACCACCAGAAAACCAGAAGTGGCGCTGTAGCTCAAGTGGTAGAGCACTCACCTTGAGCTGAAGAGCTGAGGGACAGCGCCCAGGCCCAGAGTTCAAGCCCCACGACTGACCGAAAAAAAAAAATTATTTTGTAAAGTAATCTTTTGGCACTGGTACCTTTCAAGAATTAAAAAAAAAATCAATCCAAATGTCAGTGGCTCATTCCTGTAATCCTAGCCGATACTCAGGATCATAGTTTAAAGCCAGCCTAGGTAGGAAAGTCTGTGACTCTTATCTGCAATTAACTATCAAAAAGCCACAAGTGGAGCTGTGGCTCAAGTGGTAGACAGAGTGCTAGGCTTGAGAGGAAAAGCTCAGTGACAGAGCCCAGACAGAGTTCAAGCTCCAGGAATGGCATAAAATATATAAATAAATCAATAAATCAAGGAACTAATGATAATACTATTTCTTGACTTTAAACAAACATTATTTTTACCTCCGTGGTTTTCCCATTAGCCGCCTGATTTTTCCCCACTCTACCCTTGTCAATTTTCTTGTTTTCAAATTAGGAAAAGATTCCTTTAGGCACACACAGAAGTCATTATCACCTTCGAAAAGTGGTCTGCAAAACAGAAATGGAATTTCATTGGTTAATAAATAACGTGCTATTTTTCAGACATAAAATCCAAAGTATGCATTCTAATTTTCCACATTATACTAACAATCCAAAATGCCACTTTCACTCTGTCCTACAGATAGGCAAAGAGACACAAATTCAAAGTGCTAAAGGTAAATCCTTAGCACGTGTGAAATACTCAACATATAAAAGCTATTTGGGAAATGCCATCAGGGCTGGAGGTTTTAGGAGGCGCTGATTTTCTTGGAACCTCTACCTGCTCTATTATGTGGGAGGCCATACTGGCCCTGGTCCTACATCTGATCAAAACAAACAATACTAGCTACAAAGTACCTACGTCCCAGAGGTAATGCCATCACCAAGGAGTCTTCTTTGGGACTGAGCCAGTCTCGGAGCACTGGAGGACTACTCTTAATGGTAAGCTTAGGTTTTAGGAACCTTCAGACCCCATGGAAGCTCCCTCAAGCTCCATGGAAACGGGACAAAAACAAAACGATTATACTCACGAGCTTGAGAAGGCAGAAAAGTTCAATCTAACAATGATACATACATACATGCCTCAGGCTCAAATATTCATACTCATGAGATTCATAAGCTTCAGAGGAGACAAATCGTTTGGAAAAGAGGAAGGAACTTTGCTGATTATTTGAAAATCAATTTTCCTCAGTAATTCTATTGTCAAATATTGGATTTTAGCCAAACATTTATGTCCGCTTCAACATTTCTGTGCTCTTATATTCCCCAAGTTAAACAATACGCATATAAAATCCTATGCAGCTAGGCACCAATGATTCACACCTGTGATTCTAACTCAGAAGGCTGAGTTTTGAGAATCATGGTTTGCAGCCAGCACTAGCAGGAAATCCATGAGACTCTTATCTCCAATTAACCAGCAAAAGCCGGAAGCAGAGCTGTGGTTCAAAAGCTAGAGCATTAGCCTTGACCACAAAACTTCGGAGACAGCAACCAGGTCCTTAGTTCAAGCCCCAGCACTGGCACAAAAAAGAGGGGTGAGGGAGTGGAGGAAGGGGAGAAGCCAGTGGCTCATACCTAAAACCCTAGCTAGAAGCTGAGATCTGAGGATCGAAGTTTGAAGCTAACCCTAGGCAAGGAAATCTGAGATTCTCATCCCCAATTAACCAGCAAAATCAGAAGTGGAGGTATGGCTCAATTGATTGTCAGCCTTGAGCAAAAAAAAAAAAAATCTAACAAACAGCACCCAAGTCCTGAGATCAAGCTCCAGTATTAGCACAAAAAAGGGAGTGGTAGTCATGGCATATCAAGTAGAAGGCTAGTAAGTTCTTGCACCTGCTTAATAAGAGGTCCTGAGTTCAAACCCCAATTCCACCACAAAAATTAAAGTAACATGATATAACCCATGATACATACTTATCTATATTTGAATAGAACCATTCATATATACACCATTTATGTGCTTTGGGAAGCTTCAGTAGGTTACGTAATCGAAAACCAATCTTCTGTGATGCTTTCTTATCTGGTGTTGACATTGTTGCTGTAAATTTCTACATGATGAAAAAAAATAGAATTATAGCTCCCCTAGTTAAAAATGAACATTTAGAATATTGAATACATTTGTAAAAACGCAAGCTATACTTAAGTACTCAAAAAATTCATGGATTTTCTTTGTTAAGAAATATGCTGATCCTTTACGAAGTTAAACCCTCAACTTTCATCACACATTCTGAGAAGGAATGTGAAATATTTGCCCCACCATGTTCAAAGTGCAATGACTTCAATTAAAAGACCAAAAAGAAGATTGCTAGGCTCAGTGAGTGGTACAGTGCTTGCCTGGATTTGAACAAGTGTACACATGGGCAGGCAAGCAAGCACTAGTCTTAGTCTTAGAAGTGAACTATGTTATTCAAATGTTTTCAATAACTGGAAAATATAAAGCTTCCCAAAGATAACAAATCCTACCAAAGGATAACAAAGAAAATAGCGTTATACTCCTGTAGTTCCAGCTACCCAGGAGGCAGAGAGAGGAAGATGGAGAAGTCTGAGCAGTTATTGATACATAAAAAAACAAAACAAAAACAAAAAGGGGCTGGGAAGGTGGCTCAGTGGTAGAGCGCTTGCCTTGCATGCATAAGGCCCTGGGTTCGATTCCTCAGCACCACATAAGCAAAAAGAAAAAAGCCAGAAGTGGTGCTGTGGCTCACGTGGTAGAGTGCTAGCCTTGAGCTGAAGAGCTGAGGGGCAGCGCCCAGGCCCAGAGTTCAGGCCCCACGACCGGACCCCCGCCCCCCCCCAAAAAAAACAAGATAAAGCCAGGTGCTGATAGCACATTTCTTGTAACTCTGGAGGCTGAGACCTGACACCTGCAGTTTGAAGCCAGCCTATGCGGGAAAGTAGAAATGTGCAGTAGTAAAGCACCAGCCTTGAGCAAAAAAAGCCAAAGGACAGTGTGAGGCCCTAAGTACATGCCCCAGTTTTGTCACAAAAAGAACAAAAGAAAAATAACAAAAGAAAAGGTGAAGTGAGAGTGCTTGCCTAGCATACTCAAGGCACTCACAGGAACTGCAAAATAATAATAATAATAAAGTGTGGTGCCAGCACAAAGAAGAAGAAAAAAACAAACCATTAGCTAGACTGACCAAGAAAATAAAACTAGATGGGCACTATTTTAACTGGAGGCTGTTTTCAAAGTGCCTCCCAATTTATTGTGTTAGACAGCAGATCCGCAAGTCACATTAAGGTACTTAAAAGAGTTAAAACCTGGGTCTGAGAAGGTGGCTCGTGGTAGAGTGCTTGCCTTGCATGCATGAAGCCCTGGGTTCGATTCCTCAGCACCACAAAAGCAGAAAAAGCCAGAAGTGGGACTGAGGCTCAAGTGGTAGAGCGCTAGCCTTGAGCTGAAGAGCTGAGGGATAGCGCCCAAGCCCAGAGTTC